CAAAATACGATAATTTGTTTTGCCCTTTGATTTGGTCCAATTAGGAATTGTACAAACTGGAGATCCTAGAAAATGTAAGAAAAATCCTTTTGGTAGACTATTAAATCGTGCCCCCTAAGCAACAGACCAAGAATCAACAACATGCCAACTGAAACCAGCTCACAGGGGCAATTAGGAAAATCGTATACAGTGACTGTACTTAAAAATAAAAGATTTGAGCTCTAGCTTGCCCCCGCAGCCATACCCTCTGGTTAAAATTTGACAAATAACACAGAGAATGCATCAATGCAGTTGGGCTTGAGCATTAACCCTTCATCTATCCCCTCGAACCCTCTTACAGACATGATTAAAGGCCACTAAGCTCACATAAAAGGACATGCTGATCCTCCCCACCCCTTGCTAATGTACATTAACTATACCTATAGCCCATTATGGAGGCAAAGCAAAAGCAATTCTCTTTTTAATAGCCTCACATTTCCACACACACTGTCATTTGGCTAAACATTGTTAGTTTAAGTTAGTCATTTCATAATTGCCTTTGTGCGAAGGTGGTGCATGTGCGCATGACTGTGCCTGCCTAAAGATTGCTATTGTAGAGTAGTGAAGGCAGTGCACATATGATTGATTTCCACAGGAGCAGAGCCTCAACTTGCTGGAATCAAGATTAATAAGAGGCCATTTACATCTCCAATCAGATCAGCGAGCAAGAGAAAGAGTTGGAATTTGTGAGAAAGAGGTAAAAACAGGCCACACAATCAATACAAGTCTGCCTTTGTCCACTGTACGGAAAGAAAAAGAGCCCGAAAACCACCTGTACAGTTACATATGCACACACAAATATTTACACACCTCCAAGTGCGTCCACACACGAGTGCACACGCACACGGATACTTCTCATATATGAAGTCAGATTGCAGCACAGACAGATCAAACACAAGGCTGTTGACAAGGTCCATATAGATGTACAACTGAGCTCTTCTATGGGGCCTCTGACACACACACACACATGCACAGACCTATTCTTATGAGACCTGGAGAGCTTTAATGACAACAAGCTGCACCTAGAAGGGGTCAGGCAGGAGTTTACTGTTCAGAGGCCACACACACACACACACACACACACACACACACAGACACGCACTCACAATACCTAACACAGGATACATGCCTGAATTTACACCCACAAGAGTGAGCAAATAAATTCAGTTCACGCTCATACACACATTGACAGACAACATTACAGGCTGACATGCACTCATGGATACAAAGCTGACTTACAGGTTCAGGTTATATTCATACATGGATGTATATGTGAACACACACACAAATACAAGCACAGCCGAGAGGAAAAGCTGGATAGGTACGATCCAATTTGATTTGACCTTGACAGCCGAGGGAGGGAGGGAGGGCTGATGGGAAGAGAAGATGGAGAGAGTGTAAGGAATAAAGGGACGGTCTGGGCCAGGTGCCTGTTGCAAATACTTGAGAGAAATGAGATGACCTTGAACTGACAGAGATAAATCATAAAATAAGAGACAGCAGTGTGTGACACTCTATGACATCTGTGCACATGACAGAGTTGCATGAAATGCTAATGTCAACCTAACATATACAGTGGTATCTTCTGCAGTAAACCTACAAGTCTCTTATTTTATTGAATTGCAGGAGCTACTGTTCTTTTACTATTGCTAGAATTAGGAGTACTCTTTCAGGCTCACTATAAACCTGATGCAATCAATGCAAGCATTTCTTAGAAGTGTAAATATGTAGTGTTAATGCAAAACTAATGATAAAAGTGCTGACAGAACCTCTGGCTGTCAACTTTTTTAAGCATTTGTTTAAAAAATCAAATTAATAAGGAAGATCAGTTGAGTGTTTTCATTTTAATTTGTTGAGGAAGAAAATCTAATAACAAAAACCACTTGCCAGGAGACAATTACCATATATATCCTTGAAGATTTTTTCATTAAATGGAAATGTAGCAACAACAGTTTCTATTATCCAGTAGCAGACATGTCTTTTCTCTTCCAGATTAGCAATCAAAAAGGCATCTTTGTCATTAGAGATGCTGTTTATTACAACCAAATCACAGATGTGCATTAACAAACAGTTCCCAGCTTCTGTTTGTTCATCTTGAGCACATTTCTTGAAAACATCAGACAGATCCCAAATGTGAGTTGTGCAGCTCGGAGATCAGCGGGTAATGTCAACATGATGCAGATTCAGTGTTATCTACACCCCACAGTTAACTGGAAATATTAATTTTATTTTCTAAACTAAATCTGAAGAGCTGAAGAGATGTTTAAAAGATAAGGCTGTTGATTTGGGATGTTTTGGCTATTTTCCACAAATGCCATACAGAGACTAAAAACAACAATGAATGTGGCGTCCTCACCATAATGTCTTGAAATCCAGACTCCGGTTTAGCTACTTCCTTTACTGAACATCTCCACTGCTGTCCAAAAGCTATTAAAAACGCACTAGTGAGCCACACAGCTGCACTGGGTGACATGTTGCTTTCTCATAAAAAATGTGGCACGCTCACACTGTTAAGTTTGGCACAAGAAGCTAGTGGTGTGGTCTAAACAGTGCAGAGGTCACGTGCATGCAGAGGTGACTCTTACAGTACTTCAAAGACTGTGTAAAATAATGGTCACTAGATGTAGCCCACGTATTTTTGTGAGAAATAAATATGTAAGCCAGTGCAGCATTGTGTCTCACCAGTGTGCTTTTAATAGTTTCTGGACAACAATGGAAGTCTCCGGCACAGAGGAGTTAACAAAACCAGGGACTGGATTCACAGACATTACAGTGAGCACACCACATTCATTGCTGGTTTTAGTCTCTGTATGGGATATTTTGAAAATAAACAAAAAACAAACAAAAAAAGAAAATCACCACCTTCATCCTTCAAGCCATTTTGCAGAATAAAACTGAACACTTTAGTCAAGTTAATTAGTTTTGACTGAGTTCAGTATCAGCTACATGAAACCTGATGACATTCCAAACCTTTTGTCTGTTTCACCTCAGTGTACTTCATCTCCGCCAACTTTCATCTTTGTTGTAAACTGACATTACCCACAACGTGTGGCAGAGAGGCATGTGTCTTCAGTGTGGAAGCATTTAAAACTGGAAAAAGAAAGCAGTCTAATTGTAATCTTAGCATTATGGTTCTTCAGCATGACAAACTGGATATCCCATCACTCTTAACTGTGACTGTGTTTTACTTGTTATTTTTTAGGGTCTTTTTAGGTCTATGAAATATTTATATTGTTACAATTTGATATTTTGTTAAAATCACAGGAAAACACTGGAGGCTGCAGTATCCTATCTAAAATGCAATAATTTTATTACCTGTAATGTTTTAGATCGGGAGTTTGCTGTATGCTCATTATTAAATAAGTGGTTGTGATCAAGGGCAAAAACGTTATTGAGACTTCATTGGCAAGGTGTTCTTGGTTTAAATAACAGTATCTAAGACTGTACTAGATGTTTGGCAGTCAGTCTGCAAATGCATCAGGCAGTCTGTGTTTGGTCCAAGGTTCAGCATATTTTTAACAGTGGAGTAATATTTTTCTTACCTGCTTTTCCAACACTCAGTAACATGATCTCTATATTTTCAAACCATCCTATCCCTATGCTTTTATCTTCATTTCTCCCACCATCACTCTTGCCTCCTGACATGTACACATTTATACACATACAACTCCTTACATTTACTATGACACAAAAAGAAAGAAACAAATGAATCACACCGGACAAAGGACATAGTAGGCTGGGCAATGTGATGCAGGAGCAATCGATCAGGCCTTAGTAATCCTTTTTTTTTCTTCTTGGTGGTACAGTAGAAGGATCAGATACAGTGTGTGTGTGTGTGTGTGTGTGTGTATAAGAGAGAAACATGTTAACACATTCACACTGTGGGGACTCGGCCATCCTTGTGGGGACCAGATGCTAGTCCCCCACAAGGAAATCATTGAATTTTATGGTGGCAACATGGTTTAGGGTTAGGATGAGGTTAAGGTTAGGTGTTAGGCAAATAGTGGTTATGGTTAAGGTTAGGATAAGTCTACAGGAAATGAATGCAAGTCAATGTAAAGTCCCCACAAGGAATGAACACACAGCGTGTGTGTGTGTGTGTGTGTGTGTGTTAGAATGTGTGCATCTGCGTATGCATGCATGCATATGTGAGTAAGAGAACTGGAATGAAACTAAAACTAGAAAGACAAAAACTGAGCTCAGTTTTTTGTGTTCTTAATATAGTATCAGGTTCCATCAGTCACATCTATAACATGCTATGATCATGAGCTGGGGGTGGCCAGTGACCGGAGGGGTAGAAGGTGTGGTGGGGGTGGGCGGTGACAGACCGGCAGAGGGACATACTAGTAGGAAAGAAAACAAGGGCTGAGGGATGGGTGGGCCTCATGCCCTGCACTTGAACTTATAGCTGGTGTGGTTGAAGAGGCTGGGATGGGGTCAAGCACTCAGAGTAGATGGAAAAGGAAAAAACCCAGCAGAGTGACATCAATATATCCCTGCTCAGAGACAGATGGGGGAGAGGGGGACATGGTGCCATTCAGTAGGCTGTCTTGGAAGGCAATGACAGTATCAACCTCAGTGTTTTTTTTTTAACTATTTCAACTTCGGGTGCAAATCTGGGTCTCTCCTGTCTTTGTAAAACAATCTTTCTTTTTTAGCTACATTCCTACCTCTTTTTGGGTTCAGGTCCATAAAGGTGCATATAGTTAAGGTAGCAATTACATGTAAGCCAAACACTTTTATAGCTATCAGAAAATGGCTTTTTCTTTCTTGATGTGGTACTGATTAGGAAGGAGATTTAGAGGCAGCACATTAAGAAGGTATGGAGAACATTAAAAGAAGGGTTGCAAGGTGATTTTGAGGCAGTTTGGCAGGTGGAACACTTATGCATATTTGCAAAACACCCATGTATGCATTCCCTTCGAGATAGAGTGGTAAAATAGGTCAACCTCACTTCCTACCTTGGTCTGGAGATAGTGGGGGTAGTAGTAGGTGTAGTGGGGGTACATTGGCTGCTGCTCCAAACGTTTTCCCATGTAGCTGGAATCCAACTGAAGGTCCTGGAGGCTGGAGATAGAAGCCCGCAGGTGGGGTACGATCACTTCGAGGGACTGGCCTGGTTCTGTCAGACGACTGTTTCCCAGAAGCAAAGATGCAGGGAGAGAGAGCGCTCTCTTCTTACTGAGGTACGTGTGATAAACACACAGAGGAAGGGGCTGGATAGGAGGACAGACAGTACTTTGGATTTTAGTCTCTCTACTTGTCAGGGAGCACAGATGGAACCTCACAAAACCATTCTTCCACTGGGTCTGGACAGGAAGACAGAGAGAATCCGTAGTGGCAACAGAGAGAGGGTTTGGGTAGAAAGAGATGGAGGTTTAGGAGAGGATGATATGAAGGAATAGCAGGAGGCAATGCAGGAAACAATAGGGGAAGACTGAAGAGTAGGATGGAAAGGGTATAAGGCGAGGGATGATGAGGAAGAAGGAGGAACGAATGGGATCTAGTTGCCGGTTCCTTGCACTTTCTGCTCTAAAAATCACACACTCTTCTTCTTCTCTACTGCCCCGAACATGTCCCTCAGTTTGCTTTCCAGCGTCTCTCTCTCTCTTTCTTTCTCTCTCGCTTTCTCGTCTCTCTACGTCTCTTTTTCCCTTCCCGTGTATCTGTTTTCCTGTCTCGTTCTGCCTCCCTCTCCCTCTCCCTCTCTCTCTCTCTCACACACACACACACACACCAGACAAGACCCTGATCCCACTGGGAGTTCGGCTGTATCCTGGAGAACACACGCTGTCCTCTGCTCTATCCTCAAATGACAGTGAAATCAGCAATGGACTCACACATGGATGTGGAGCTATAGAAAGAAGAGGAGGAGAGGAGAGGAGGAGGAGGAGAGAGGGTGGTCTGGAGCTGAAGCAGTGACTGCCTTTTTTCTCACTGTCTCTCACTCCCTCCCTCTTTTGTTAAGCTCCGGGGATAGATAGGTAGATATTGCTGGAGTCCGGCGTGGAGGATGAGCAAAAAGAAAAAGCCTCTGTACAAACTCCTCTTGCTCAAGAAGAAACAGATAGCCTTATCCAGACGTGCACTCACACAGAGGAAAATCCCTTCTGATCCACAAGGTGCCTCCTCCAACTCTCTTCTCTTTTCTTCTCTTCCCCGCTGTGATCCGTCTCTTTCTTCTCAAGCTCTCTCCCTAACGGCTTGCTTCCCACTGCGCCTGGCAGCCGTCGCTGTGTGCGTGTGTATGTGTGTGTGGTGCCGCTGGTGGTGGCAGCAGCAGCGGTGACGGTGGTGTGTGCGTGTGGTATGTGTGTGTCTGTGTATGTAACTGAGAGGGGAGTGTGTTTCTGTGGCTGTTGCCGTCTGCTCCACTCTGAGTGCTGAGGCATAGAGGGGCTCGGCTTCAGCGCAGCTACGCTCCTCCCTTCCTCTCTCCTTCCACTCTCTGTCTGTGTCTCTCATCCTCTGTGTTTTTCATGGAACTACAGAACAGTGGGAGTGTTTGGTCCTGCTCTTGTTCAAGTCCTGGTGTGACTGTGTGTGTGTGTGTAGGGGGTGTCACTAAATAAAAACTGAGGACAGAGATGGGCTGTCCTGCTGGCAGAAAGGTGGAGCTGGGGAGTTTGAAGAGCAGGAGCTGGGGTAAAAAGAAGAGAATACACAAGGAGTAGAATTCTGAAACAGACAGGCCCCCCTGCTGGCACTCGACAGGTGCAGCAAGGGCATATCTTCCAAAATAAAAATTTCCAAAATTCTTCAGGTTCTTTAAACTGAACAACATCTTTTACATTTTATTTTGCGTATTGAAAACCATCCCCTACCATACAGCATCATACACTCAGATGATGTCACAAATGTGCACACATATATAAATAAATGCATGAAGACAGTTCTGAATGGCCCTCCACAAAGTCAGTGCACACAAAGATGCTCAACACATGCTCAGCGAAGGGCCCAACACAGAGTGTGTATGTAGTTCAGCGGCTGTGTGGCACAGTGACCCACTGACACAGTGCTGCCTGTTATGTGATGTAACCAGGTTTAGGTAGTGCTCTTACATAAGTACAGTGGTCCATGCATGAAAAGACTGTACTGGCTGTTGTGCATGGGTGTGAAAGAGACGAGGGCTTGCAGACAATGCAAGTTCACTGCAGTGGAAAAAAGAGAACAAGAATAGAATGCAAACACAGACCTTCCTATACGATAAGAGCTTTATTTCTTGTGAGCAATACCAACTGATGCAAAAACACGTCACTGTCTTTGTGCTATGGGCCGCTCCGGGAGGTTTTTCTCACTATGTGCTTGTTTGACCACTCGCCAATAATAACATCAGATATGCTTGATCCAGATTAGGTCAAGCCTGAAAAAACAGCACAGGTTATTAAACCAACACCAAACCCCTTCACTACATAATAACCAGTGTAAAATATTCATAAACGCCCCGGAGTATGAGCATAGATGCTACTGAGAGGTGGGAAAACACTCTGTACACCACTGGTGATGTTTACAGTTTCCTCAAACGCAACCATGGAAACTCTAGTGATTTCATCAAAGTACCAACTGGCTTAATCGGGTTTTTAGCTCATACATAAAGAGAATTTTTGTCTTGTCTCTAAGCACTGGTGTATTAAGGCAGCTCTCTTAGTCATAACCTATAAACCAGTACAACAGTAACATCATGCCTGGCGGCCTGATAAGCCTTCAGCTGATAAGAGGCTAAGGACAAATAAATAACACTGAATATGTTTTTATTCTGGCAGTGATGCAGCCACATCAAATGAAAAGATGACCCTAGCCAAAGATCAGCATCATCAGTTACCTTGTAAGCATTAAATAATACTAACACAAAGTTCTCTTTACTGTACTAGACATGCTATTGTACACACCCACTAACCATACTGTCATCTACGTAGATTATTGGTTAAGTTAAATGTTTATCAAAGTAAAATCACATGACAATTTTGTCTACTTAGAAAAATATAGTGATCTTACCAACTTTACCCCATGACAGTGAGTCAGTTGATTAAGAGTTTATAATGAAATGTGTTTTTATACATTCTGTGTAGGCTAAAACTCAGAGAAGCATGTTTTTTTACCTGGCACATTCAAGTCGTGATCCACACTCGTCTAGATGGCAGAGCCGGCATAGCATGAGTTCACCTTGCAGTAATTCCACTCTGAAATGTACAGTGAAATATGTAAGCACATTGTGGTGCTGCTGCAAGAAAAAAAAGTTCTATTGATTGTATTGCTCTTGTAGTTGAGAGCTGGATTCCTTAATCTTTGCCAGCAGAAGGGCACATTCATACAACGCAGCACTACAGAATACCACATGACAAGAAAAGGATAGATCAGGTGTGTGTGTGTGTGTGTGTGTGTGTGTGTGTGTGTGTGTGTGTGTGTGTGTGTGTGTGTGTGTGTGTGTGTGTGTGTGTGTGTGTGTGTTTGTGTGTGATATACTGTATATAAGTAGCATACCAGCTAAAGTTTTCATGAAAAATTTGGAAATTTGCTGACACCGCAGTTTGGGGAAACAATGGGATAGAATTGATTCTTCCAACTGCACAGTACAATCCTATTATGAGAGGTACAATCTGTACATCTCTCCCCATACTCTGCTGCCACAATAAAGATTCCTAATTACCTTGTCTAGTGGCAAGGCAGCCATAATGGTGGTGGTAAATACACACTGGTTAATTGCATTAATGTTAAGATCAAACAGACTGTTTTAAGCACAATCTAATTGCCTACTAGTTTCTAAAGACTGAATATGTACCTGCTATGTCTGCATTTCTCTGCAAAACGGGATGGGACACAGAGACAGTTTTCTACATCCAATGCCTGAGAAATGCTAGACAAAAACTGACAGCTGGAGCAAAATATCAAAGTCTTTTCATCGACACTGTGTGTTTTTAAAGCCCCTGGCCATCAAAGCAGTTTTCAGATGGAGCAGGAAAGGTCATGCTGTGACTCAGGGGTGTGTTCTTCTCATTGCTGACCACCAGATGTATAGCAAACAGTGAGCCACAAAAAGAAAAGGAGCATAAAAGCCTCACATCTTAGCTCAGATACAGCTGGGAAAACAGAAGAGGTCACAATGGCGATAGGCCTATTCTACAGAAGCTGTTCTGGTTGTTTTTCAGGGAAAACATTAGCCAGGATATCATCATCATCACACATACACAGTTGTATTTGCACACAGCAGCGGTAAATGGACTATTACATCCAATTGCCACACACAGCATGAGGGAATCTGTCTCTTTGCGAGTCTCCTGAGATACAAACACAAATGCCGTAAACTGTTTTAGGTTTCTTTGATCCAGGAAATCGAATTCAGGTTTAAACACATTAAGAAAACAGAACCATTATCTTAGACAATTTAGTGTTAGTGTTGAGTGTGTTAGCAGCTTCATCCCTTAAAATTTAAATGCTTCAACCTTATTCATACATGTTCACTATCCTGCTAAACTGAAGATGGATTCAGTAAAAGAGTAAATAAATACAGTTCCTGAATCTGGGCAGCTGTAGCACAGATAGTACAGCAGGTTGGTCGCACATAGCTAACAAGCCGTAACCTGGAGCTTCCCATACCCATAATCCAGGGAAATCCAGGGCTGATCTGCTCTTTTCTGCTTTGCTCATTAACATGCCTGCTACCAAATCAGCCAGTATCAGAGACTGTATGACCAGTTTATCAAACAGCTGTTGAAAAAGCAGAAATGTGACGTCTTCACCGATTCGCCCTCTGTCCACTCACTGAAGTCCCTGTTTCACCTCTAAGTAAGTGTATGCTCACACACCGTGCTTGAAAAGTGACAACGCTGCCATTTAACCAATCATGAACGACAGCACTGCGAGCTTTCACCCCTTCCCCACTGTGAGTACCTGGAACTGCTTGTTGAAGGGATCTTACAAAGACCATCAATAGGCTTTTCAGGAGCCCTGCTAACTTGTGTGGTTGTATGGTACAAGAACAGAATTAGAGAAGGCTCACAGAACACATAAAAAAGTAATAAAAAAAATCTCTACAGGGAAGTCATAAACACAGTAACGCAAGGGGTGAAGCAAAGCACGTATCAACCCTTTCTTTATCCTTTCACCTGCATTTAGTTTTGTCAAAGCACTACCTTATGACAAATGTGAACAATGTAACTTCTACTATAGATTTTGAAATATATAAGATATTTTCTAATTTCACTGTTGCTTTTCTACAGTCACTGAGTTTCCCTTGGAGAAAAACTTCGACCAACTCTGTTTAGAGAAGAAATCTAATATAATGAGGACACAGCTCAATACAAATCTTATTTATAATCATCAGTTCTTACTGAAATATATCCATTGTAGCCTCTAACATCTGTATCCGGGCAGTAAAAATACTGATAGATTAACTGGATTGCGTTGCCTTCCCATGCAGGTTGCAGTGGTTAGATTTTCTCACACTTTGTGCCAAAAACAGTCAGAGCTGCCACACTGTGTAAGGGAATCAAAATGCGTGAGCCACGTCTGAACAAGACTGTGTCATTCGATGCTAAGGACTGAGAAAAACTAAATAGAGCATTGTCATGTCACAAGATTCCTGCACAGGGGAAGTGTTTCAAGATCATTTTTCTGAGGCAAAGGCCATGTTAAACCTCAAGAAAACGGGTGAAGTAAAGGAGCGCCGCTGTATTGTCCGGGCTGTAAAAGGTGTGTGAACAAAAACACACACAAGAAAGACGTGCGATAATCTTGGTAATGGCATCAAAATTCAAACAAGAGGCACTATACACATGCACCACCTGGAAAAGATCTTACACAGTTAAAGCACCTAGGGTTCTCTGTTCCTGCCAGAACAATTTCTGCGTCACCTCATTTGCAGTCATTATGCAGTTTTCCTCGGGTGCATGTCTACTTTTGTTTGTTTGTTTGTTTGTTTGTATTTGGTATTTTTCTGCCATGAATGAATGTACTTATGCTGAGGTAGGAGGAGAAGTGCAGCTGAGACCGTGTGTATGCTAACTAGGTGCATCTCCAATTTTCCTGACAAGTGCCTAAGCTGGGAAGCATGAGATCAGGTACCCAAATGCATTTTAATGGCTATGCCAACTGAAAATTAACCCTTAAATCCACAACTAATCTGCTGGAATTCACTCTGAATAATTTACTGCATACCATGAAGCATATTTTCTACAAGAAAAATAAACTAGTTCTCAGTTTGTAGCTATAGATATGAATATGGCCAAACAGCAAATCAGGAAACATCAACTTACAGGATGTAGTCAGAGGCGGTCTGCAGCTGGTGTTCGGGAATCCAAATC